GAGCGTCACAAGTGAATTTGTGAGGCATGCAGATTCTCAGTCCCCATCCCAACCACTGCAAACTCTGTGGGTAGAGCCAAACAATTTGTCTTTAGCCGTCCAAGTGATTCTTAAGTACCTTCCAATTTGAGAAACACTATCCTAGAGGCCTGGAAAATTAACAATGACTCCCCATCTTCCCAAATCAGCTGAAACAAATTCATTTTTACTTTCTGAATGCCTGACAATGAGTCTCTTTTTTTTCCATAGCATCAAATTCAACATCACTCAGAAAGACACAGAATTCGTCAGCCTTTAAAAGCACAGACTTGAGCATTTAAGAGTATGGATACAACACACTGGAGAAAAAGCATAAAAAAAATCTTTAAAATTTCAAAAATTAAAAAAGAAACAGCTTTACCTTAGAGGCTTTATCTTTTGAAAGGAAACTGATAGATAAGATTGTGTGTACACAGTGACATTCTCGTAGTTCCAGTACAAATTTTATTGAACTAAAAGCTCTTTTGTTTTCCCTATGAGAGAAAAGTAATTCAGAAGACTCCATCTGTTAAAGGATGCCTTATTTGAATAGAAAAAAATGAACAAAAACCAAAAACACGGAGGCAGGAAAATATACTTGTGAGGAGGCACCTCAGCAAGTGCCTATGCGCTTTTCTCCAAAATTGCACATGTTCTGATTAGGTTTTATGCTACATAGCTTTCCAAAAGCAAAAGATTGGGTTTTTCTCGTACCTACTGGCTATGTTGATTTGTCTTCTAAAGAAAATCTAACAGGGCGACAAACAGCCAAATAAACCTGATAAAAACTAGACACCTTGATTTTCTACTAAACGGCACTATAGTGAATAATTAAGTACAGTTTGACTATCTGCTGAGCTGTTAGTATCAGTGTTCCTGTGGGGAATCACAGAATATTCTGTAAGGTGCTATTTGGGTTGTGTTGCAAATAGCCTTTTGAATATTGATAATCAACAACAGAATCTCAATTTTCTGTGATGTGTGGGGCAATTCTTCCAGGACTCAAGCACAACACCCATAGCTAAACTGCAGAGACAACAGAAAACAAAGACAGTAACATTTGTTTATCCTTTATGTCCCTTTGGTCTTTTCTAAGATAAATGATAGACAAAAATGAAGTTATTTAACTTTTTTCAAAATATATTTCTCATCTGACTCATTGAGGTTTGAAAGTCACCAAAGAAGCTTTGTCTTTTATGTTAAATGATACCCCTTCTCCCCTTTAGGAGTCTCACTTTAATTAATTAAATGCCATGACTTATTTATGAATGCGTTTGAACTTATCACCCACTGAAGATAGCAGGTTTCCATACTGTGTCAGGAAGATACCCGCCATCTTGAAGGGGTGTGAGGAGGCCACAGCGTTTGGAGAAAGGTAGACATGAGAGGTGTTCCCCTTATCCAATGATGAACAGGATAATTTATTTAAGGGACAAATGAAAAATTTTTAAATAAAAAACAACAAGGGTATACATTTTTGTCTTAGAAACAAGGTAAGAGTCACATTTCCATCCACAGGGCCATTTTCCAAAGTATCCAGGAAGCGAGTTCTAGTCGGCCTCACATGGGTTGGCTCAGCCCGGCTGTTCTACTAGGGAGGCTCAGGAGAGCCTGTGAGTGACCAGGAGAATTGGACCTAAGCCTTGACCTCCTTGAGAGACCTTAAGCGAATATTTGAGAGACAAAATCTTCATACAGGAATCTGAGTTTAACTCATAATTTAAGTTTAAATAAGAAAATTCACAGATATAACTAAAAGAAGGTAGGTTATCAAGAGACAAACAATAGGAAATCCCTGCCAAAGCAAGCGTTGGAGTCAGAATCAGTATTCAAAGCTGGGTTGCCCTCACTACTCCGACATGACGGAGTCTCTCTTGTACCCTCTCAGTGTCTCCATCCTCTCAGTTGTACATGGAAATAAAGATAATAATGCCCATCTTGGAAATGACTTTGTGATGATTAAAGGAGATAATGTTTGTAGAAGCCCCTAGAATACAATATGTTCAAAATGAATCTCAGTTTGAGATTGGGCAAATGACAGTGAGCTTAAAGATATTGTCGATCAATCATTGTAGGGTGGAACAATCCAGAATAACTTCTTGGAGCAAGTGGTACCTGAAACGGGATTAGAGGAAACAGGAAGTTTGGACTGATGGGGAAGAAGAGGAGGTACGAGAAAATGTACAGACGTGGGAATTGATGTGACCTGGCGAGAAACATACACATGGAAACTGCCTGATTCTCAACGGGCAATCAGCCCCTTTTCTTTGTCAACATTTTAAACTATTAGAGATGAACCAGCAGGTTCATGACAGGAGACAGGAGAATCGTCCCCTTTTTGTTGGTGAAAAGTTTTTCTTCAGTATCTTTAGGCAGACAGTACTTCACCCTGTTGAGAAGCAGAACATGGAAGAAATACATGTTAAGTCTCTGGAATCAAATAAATCTGATTCTGGGGTTTAACTGTCACTTCTTAGCTGGGTGACTCTTAGCCAATTGCTCCATGTCTCTGTGCCTCAATTTACCAATATATAATATGGAGATAAGCAAAGTCACTCAAAATAGTTTAGACAGTTGCTCTTACAATCCAATAATCAAGATAATCTCACTGACACAATAACTTTTCAATAAATGTTACTGTTTTATGCTTATTTGCATTATTATGATATGAATGAATGAACTGTTGAATCTCCTTGGAACAAAAGCATTTCATAAAAATTCAGGCCCAAAGATGTTTTCATTCCTAGAGTAGCTGAAGTGAGAGATGTGAGAAACAAAAGGAGACGCGGGTCCTGTATGGACATCTGTTGTCTTTTTGAATGACTACCCAGTGTTTGGTTGGCAGCTATCCAGTCTGGTAATTCACTATTTCCCAAGCTGGATTACAGTGACATGGTGGATGTTGCAATATACGTTATATCTGAAGGACACTCATATGTTTTTCTTTATCTTTCAGTCTTTCATACCTGTGTGTCCTATTTGATTTTTGCATAAATGGAGTTGTAATGCTTCTATTATCCTAGATGACCTCTTTCCAAATATAAAAATAAAGCCCCCTGTTTGCAAGGTTTAATAACAATGCTATTTAAGTATTTTATACTATAAAAAAAATGAAGTGTATTGCAGCATGCGTTCCTTGGGCAGCAGACTGTGAAAGATTAGCATGCGGGAAGTTTATCAGGGGTGTTCCTGGAATGATCACCTGCGAAGGAAAGGAAATGGAGGGAATCAGGATTGTTCAAAGACAGAAGATGGGCCAAACCAATGGGAAACTGTTTTATGTTGGTCTCTGCCTGTAGATAACCAATGTTGTGACTGGCCCGGCCCTGTGGTTCTCATTATGATTGCAAGACTTCCTCAGCGATAACCATCGCTGAGGGTGGGGGGGAAGGTTTTTTTTTTACTGATCAGTCCTGGAAATTACATGACACACCTGGGGCCACACAGTGAGGTTGCAGGTAGAGAGAGAGAAAGTGTGGGTCTGGGGTTCTGCACTTATTGGGGTCAAGGCTAGAGCCCAAGGATTTTATGGGCTCACTCCTTATTGGTCAATTTAAAATGTAAGAGTGGACATTTAACACATGGAAGAGAAAAAACATGCATCCCAAATTGTCAGTTACCCAGTTAATGAAATCAACCAAGATCTCTAAAGCAAAGGAACATAGCGGGGCAGAGGATGCTGGCTCTTTATCTAGTTCTGCAACTGGCAGTGTTTATTCCAGATCCCCATCTTTGGAGTGAATGCCTCTTTGAAGTGGACACCTCAGCAATCAAAGCTTAAGTCAGGTACTTGCATTACAAAAAGGAAAGTCAATTGTAGACGGTTTACACTACAACAACTCTGAAGCCCAAATTGTCCTTCAGAATTCCCCATATTTGGGGTGAGGAGGCAAATTTTTGAGCTTCCACATTGACCAGTCCTTGCTTATGGCCTATCCCTAGAGGTAAGCTCTTACCTTGGTCGGGGGGCAACTATCCTCAGCCAAACAATTCCAAATGATAGCTGAGAGCTGAGGTTTACCTCCAGGCAGCACTTCCACTGTTGGAGAAATGAAGCCAACAGTCCTACAGAAGGATCTTGCTAGCATATCATAACATCATAGCATCACAGAGTGAAGGGGAAAAATAAATAACTATATATATACATATGTATATAGTTATATATGACTATATATGTATATAATACACATGTGCACACATATATATAACATTTTCTCTGAATCAATTATAGCTATTTCAGCAAAAGCTTGATCATTAGCAGAAGCTGCAATATTATAAAATATTTCAATTGAATCTTATTTTTTTCACCTTAGATGAGAAATCTTAGAGAAGTAGCATAATAATAAATGAATGTTAGGAAGAGTCAAAAGACCACAACTACACTATGTCTTCTCTTCTGGCTCTTTATGTGATAAGAAACATTTTAAAACCTAATAAGAAGTGTGGTATCTTTCACTATTCTGTCCCCACCTGTCCTGGTTAGCTTTGCTAATACAAAAGAAAAGAAAAGCAGAGAAGAGAGGGCAGAAGAGGAGAGGAGAGGAGGGGAGAGGTGGGGGTTAGAGGAAAGGGATGGGGAAGGGAGAGGAGGGGAGGCACAGGGAGGAGAAGGAAATGCAAAAAAACAAATGAGAAGAGAAGAGAAGAAAAGAAAAAATTAATCGGAGACTTACTGAACGACATGTGACCAACTTAATACAATTATATGAAACTGAGTATCTACCTACATAACAACAGAAAATAAATAAGAACAATTTATTCTATAAGAGTGAAGAGATGCTATGATTATAGCACATGAAGCCTGCTTGAACTGGGGAGGTTAAAGTTAGATTTGGGAGAATTCACAGGGCTCCGTGGACAGCCCATGACACAGTATTCAAAAGGCATAGCAAACCAAGGTCTGATTCAGACAGCAGGGTGGAACATGGCAGCAGGAGAGTTGAAGCAACAATGCAATTTGGAAGCCAGGCAGGGTTTCTGTCAGAATAAGGACGGCTGGCCTATGTGACAGTACTGTGGGAATTGCATCATGATTGGAAATTGATGGGCGTGGATCAAAAGGAATGTAAGTTTCTTTGTCCTTCTTTCTCAAAGATGCAGTAGGCAAAGACAAATGGTGGATTTGAAATGTCTAAGTTTGGGAGTGGATTGTAGCAAGATGTCCTGGAAGTACTGGTCAGGCCAATGAACCAGGAGAGAGAGACTTGGTGATATGTTTTTTTTTTAAATTAGGGTGAGAACTAGAGCTGAGTGGGAATATATTTACAGGTAAGCCAAGAAGAAACAGAGAGCCATTGTATTTATTCATGCAAAAGGAATCTAGGTATTCTAGGCAGTCCTATTCGTTTAATTTTTAGAGTGTTGAGAATCTACAAGTAGATTACAAGTAACTCATACTGTCATTTTAAATGGTAGTTTCATATTTTACCACAATACTATGCTCTATTTACTCTCTAATAATTTCAGTCATACGCAAGTGAGGATAGTCTAATTGTGGACAGTTCTTTTCAAGAAATGAGAAAGCTCATCCTCAAGTGAGGGACATTTCAATGAAAATCCATCTGTGAGGGTAGACATCATGACTCCTGAATGTATTAAAATGATGTCCTCTTTCTCACTTGTCCTTTTATTCACCTGAAAGCAAGCCATCTTTATATTTTTAAGCTCTTCCGTGGACACAAGAATCTGATCAACAAATGATGTGATGATTTCCCTTCTTATGAGTATGGCACGTTGGACTAAAATAGCAGAAAGTTCTTCCAGGTGTTTTTCCAGTTACAAATGCTCCAAAGTTCAAGGATTTGAAAAATAGGAGTTGATTATTTTGGTTGATCTTTGTCCTGGTTTTTCCAAAATTTTCTCTGTAAAAATAAAAAGATGACAATAAAAATTTTTATATTTTTGTTTGAATTTTCTTCTGTAGACAGCAGTTTAAGTGATTTTCCAGGTAGCACAAAATGCGTTTTGCAGAGGAGAGGAAAAACCAACCTTTTCTCAGTTTAATGGTGGCTTGCACTCGGCCATTTGCCCCCACTTTCTCAGCCACATCAATAATCCGCTGTACTGAGCGCTTGGCTATTTCTCCGCATCAAAGCAAATGCAAAATCTTACATCCTCCCAAGTTGAAACAGTGCCATTTATCATTAAGTGAAACACTGTACTGTGAGGATGGTTTTAGTTTAGCCTTTTCTTACCTTTTAACCTCCCAGCTTGAAATATGTCCATTTATCATTAAGAGGAACATTGCACTGAGAGTGGGTTAAATTTAAAAGCTTTTTGTTCCTGAAGTAACAGAGCCTCAAAACTTAACCACAGGGACATGGAAGTTAGAAACAGAAAATTCTTATGTGAAAACTTGCCTCCACTTATGGGAAAACAAAGTTGCATCCTAAAACATTCTCGCCTTGCCCTTTGTGAATAGCTGGGTAAGTCAGAGTCCCTGCTGTTTGTTGAAGCACGTTAATTATGGTGTAACCTGCCTGCTGTTGGGTTTGAACTGTTACAGAGCAAAGGTTAAGACAGGCATTAAGCAGAAGGTTTGAAAGGCTTCTAAGCTCCAACTGCTCTGCAGAGGAGAACTGTAGATAATGCAGCAAGGGAAGCAAAGTGAGATCTAACAGGTTTTGTTTTACTGAGGGGGAAACAGAGGAGTGTTTCTGTAATCGACCCGGGTAGATTTAGATGCCCCCTGCCCCCAAAAAACTCCTCCCACTGTTGCTTAGAGGAGGCATTTTTGAACAAATGGTGCAAGGCATTTATGAGAGTAGCTATACACCTGAAATCCTGCATTCTCGTGGATTGGTGCAATACCCAATAGGTAAAACAAGGCTAGGGGTAGGGGAGAGCTTCCTTTATGCCTGCCCCTGCACAACTAAAGGATATCAACATTTCCAGAAATAATGTGATACCAAGGGAAGAGTGATTTTCCCCACTAGGAAATTATGTCAGAATTTTTAAAGGGCATGTACCTTCAAAAGAGTCCTATAGGTCAGTGGTTTTCAAAGCTTAGCACACTTCAGAATCACCTGGAGGGTTTGTTAAAAGAGTGATCACTCATTCTGGGGAAAACAAGCTGCCGTGTTGTGAGCATCCCTCTGGAGAGACCACAGCCTGACTGTACCCTCATAAGAGACCTTGAACCTGAACCAGCCAGATTCCTGACCCCCAGACACTGTGGGATGTAATAAATGTGTATTGAAATGCTTGGTTTTGGGATATGTTGCTATACCAAATAGATAACTAATACAATAGTAAACACCTCTGTATATAAAAGTCCTAACTTTAAGAAATCATAGACAAAGTGTAAGAATAAACAGCAATTGGAACCTAAACCCTAATATATTGACAAACCATCAAAGTGACCAGTATGAAATAACTTTTCAGGAATCAGAATGTTGCATGGGCTGGCCTGGAAAAAGAAAATATCGATGGTTCAGGAAGTGACAGGAAGAGAAATTTCAAATGCGCTTAGGTCAAAGTTATGACCCTGATTCCTCCATGGAAAAAAAATTTAATCCATATATTACATAGAGTATAAAAATTGATAAGATGTACAATTTTCATTTATAATTTAGTGCACGTTTGTAAACGTATATATTTATCTAGTCTACAAAACTTGCAAACGTATACTTGTCAAATTCAAAACAGTTGTTTTATAAACCTGCACGTGCAATATTCTAGACATTAACTTCAATCGTTCTCAATTAAGTATTTAGTTCTCTCTGTGAAATATCGGTTAATGATACCAATAAGCAAGGATGACAAATATGTTTCAAGTCATAAACCGACACTCAGAATTCCATTGAAGCTTCATGGATCACCGTGTTGAGATCTCTGACGCTACAGCCAGACTTAAGGAGGAAAATATGATGATCACTTAAAATGGTTGTCTTGGGCATGGTGTGGATAGAGTATTGGCATTTCAACAGGGGAATCAAGCCAACACTTAGAAATGGAATCTTGTTTCCCAAACAGATGAATCAAATAAGAAGCACACATAGGTTTGGTTGCTTATTTGTTTTGGGGGGAGGCAAATTTAATGCACTTTGATTTACATCAATTCTATTCCACAAAAACACATGCCAATGAAATGACCCTTTAGCAGAAAGAGGAACAGCATATTCTCCTTGCATAGATTTTCTGAGAATTAAATAAATATCTATATAAAACTTGGCCTCCTGTATGTAATCCTACAATATGTTTTCTTGGGAATAAGTCAAACCAACATACACTCATAAAAAATAACAGTAAAGCCAAGTTCCTTCCTCCCAGACATGACCATTACAGTCTATCTGTTCCAGCCACTTCAAATATCAAATCTAAGTTTAATGTAGAGACTGGCATTAAAAAGGCAGGGCGATGCATGGATCAAATGATTCCTGTCACAAAGTCAAGTCTAAAATGTCATCTATTCTCGTAGTCAGGAATATCAACTTTGGCCTTCATAATTAATTTTAAAAATAAATTGTATCTATTATTTTTTCTATACTTATACCTAACAAATGTTTCAACTGATTCTTTCCCATTACTGAACTGATCTGAAATTTGACTGCAATGTGTCTTTTTATTTCATTTTATTTTTTGGGGGGGAGGCAGTGTTCTTTAAATTTTTTAAATTTTAAAAATGATTTTTTGAGGACATGTTCATTTATAAATTTCATTTTATTTTTATGCTAATGATAGATCAAATAGTTTTTCAATATTGCAGTTGTAAATCTAATATGAATATGTGAGTATACTTTTTTGAAAATGATATATGTGTAATACTGTAAACACCTTGAGGTTTCCTTTTAATCAGAATAGAGAGGTAAACCAGTGTGTGCTATAATGCACAAAGGGTTAGAAAGAAAGACTGCCAATGAATTGTAATCTTTGTGGCCTAAGCATTCTGGGACACAAATAGGAGTATGGAGCATTTGGGTTCCAGGTGACAAATAAAAATGGCAAGTAATAGGATATATTGGAGTATATGAGGAAGTCATTTTGTGTAAACCTAATTCAGCCTGACCTTGTCTTTCCAAAAGGGCCTAACCGAGGCCGTTGAGCATGCATTGTATATCTGCTTTAGAGATTCCCTATGGCAAGAGCAAAAGGCCCTTGAGATAAAGGTGCAACTTCTCTCCCCCTCCCAACGTTGGCATCTCCTTAAAGATTAAGCATCTTTCTTTAGGCTGGGAACCGATTGCAGCGCTCATCTGTGACCCCCCCCCCCCCCCGCAGCTGGAGGCAATACACCTGCCACCCTGCGGCGTTCACTGAGACCTATCTGCTGTTTCCATCAATCGCTGTGCTGACAGAGCAGCCTCGTGACTATTGTAAAAGGGACATTTCAATCATACGTGACAGATACTCTTTGAGAGCATATAACCACCCTGTATACCCCTGCTTCTTTGGAGTGCTCTGTTCCTTTGTGGAAAGACTCTCCTGGGTTATAATCCTCAGATTTAAGCTCAGAATAAACTCACCCAAATTTTCATTTATAGATTGGTTATGGATTATTTTCATCAACACAGGTTATAGAATTAACCTTTCAGAATTATTAACTCTAAATCCCATATATTAGTTTGCGAGGGCTTCTATAACAAAGCACCACAAACTGAACGATAGAATTGTCTCACAATTCTAGAGACTAGAGTTTGAAGTCAAGGTGTCAGCAGTGTTGGTTCCTTTTGAGGGCTATAAGGGACAATCTGTTCCATGCCTTTCCCCTAGCTTCCAGGGGCTTCTGACAATATGTGGCACTTTTTGGCTTGCAGAAACATCATTTGATGTCTGTCTTCATCTTTGTGTGGCATTTTCCCTGTGTTTGTGTGACTGTGTCCAAATTTTATCTTTTTATAGGGACATCGATTTTATTGGTTTAGGGCCCACCCTAATGACTTCATCTAAACGAATTACATCTGCAATCACCCTATTTCCAAATAAGGTCACATTTTGAGGTACTGGGGGTTAGGGCTTCAACATATGAATTTATGGAGGGGGTACATAATTCCATACACAACATCCCATTCTCCAAGGCAGCAAGTTAAATGTCAATTTCTTATTTATTTTTTTTGCTGAGGAAGATTGTCTCTGAGCTAACAACTGTGCCATTCTTCCTCCATTTTGTATGTGGGATGCCACCACAGCATGGCTTGATGAGCAGAGTGTAGGTCCATGCCCAGGATCAGAACCTGCGAACCCCAGGCTGCTGAAGTGGAGTACACGAACTTAACCACTATGCCACCAGGCCAGGCCCTAAATGTCAATCTTATCTGAACTGAGAGATGTCCAAACCTAGAAGATTTGTTCTGAAATGCAAGGATATGAGACCTCTGAGAAATTTCTCAAATTTGGATCAGAGAAAAATGCCTTGTAGCAGTCAAAGCAGGGACTCAGGGAAGCACAGGCACAGTGTCCAGCCTCCAAGAAAAAGCGGTTTATCAAGGCCTTAGCAGATTTTCAAGTGAATTTGTCATATGCCTAGTCCCATTTAAAAAACAAAAACTGTAGTTAGCTTTTGCAAATGATCATACACACTAAGAGTATAGCCATATTTAGCAGTGAGTTGATAATACTAGAAACTAGTATTTCTGAGCTTCCTTAATTCTAAATCCTATCCACTTGAGGAAACAACATTCCTGTTACAAGTACCACCCACAGGAAGCTGTTGGCAGAAAGAAACTGATGAGATTAACCAAGATAATGACAGTTTTCAAAAAAATTATGTTGCCATCCCACCTCTCTTTTGAAGTGTTATGACTGAATATCCAAAAGCAGGGATAAGATTTTCTTGGAAAATGTATTCAAACTTTTGAAGCCTAAAGGCAAAAGGTAAGAAAAATCCCTACAATGTAAATCCATTTATAGCCTGATTGTAATAAATAGCTTGAGCTTAGAATGATTTTTGGTGAACAAGGATAATATTCTTTGCTCATAAACAAATGCCAATAAATATTCATGGGGAAGCTTGGTTTCAGCAAGTTGGCTTGCTGGTCTATCGTCCAATATAAATCATGTGTAAAATATATATCTTGTACTACTTACCTAACTAGTTCAGATACCTTTTATAGAGAAATACTACACATTATCCAAGGATTAAGCTAAGGTTGAATGCCCTACTTGGCCTATGAGCCAAAAAAGCCAGTCTTTCCAAATAGATTAAATTTCAACCCACTCAGAATTTTCAAAGAAATTGATATTGAAGCTAGCAAGATAATAGAAGCAAGACAAGAACTCAGGGTCACAGAAAACACAGCTCCAATGAGGAAAGCAAACTGGAATCAGAAACTCAGCAAGTGATTGTAACAGGCTACATAAAAGCCATTGATAAATATTAAAGCAGATGTGGCTTCTGCCATCCATGAAACATTTTTTATGTACTTTTTTGTCGTGACAGGAACTAGTCCCAGGACATGAATAGCCAAAGCTCTTCTATGTCATAGGTAAACAGTTAGGTTGGGAAATGTTCAGTGTTTTTTTCCTGGCAAAAGAGTCAAAGCTAGGGTCAATGGTCACCAAGAAGGATCATTGTCCTTGTAAATTACAAGTAGAATAGTACAGATTCATGTGCTTATAGCAGATATAGCGCCTGGCCATGCATCATTTCATTGACTTGCTCAGAGTTCAACTTCCCACTGGGTGAAAGTGCGAATGGTGAATGCCACCCTGATTCTAGTACCTTTCCTTGCCTCTGCCCCTGTGGCAGCTGTTCTGGGGGTCACCAGGCTTTGGGTAAGCCAGATATTATAGGACAACCTTATTTGGCTGAACTTCCTGAGAAAAACCATACTTACATCTCTATGTCAATGAACAGAAGGCAAGTTTGCTAAATTTTAGAGGAAGCTTATTTATTTTTGAACTCCAAAAAAACATGTCCGTATAACTAAAGTTGATGACATCCCAAAACAAACTGTCTGGGTATGAAAGAATCATCAAATATGATTGCAGAGGAATATTAAAAAGGTCTTACCCTCTGCTGATTAGTCAAAATTTCTTCCATGCTCCCACCTTGTTTTGTCTTACAAATTATTGCTGTGGAAAATTAGGAGCTTATATTAGAAGGCCAAGATGGTGACAAGGTCTTTAGAGTTTGGGATATTGAAAGTTGTGAGGCCATGTATGGTTATTTAGGAGATGTCTAAAAACATAATCATAGATTATATTTCTTAACACATGTGTTTGCATAAAAATATTTTTCAAAAAATCAAAAAGTCACTCCAGGTAATATTGTTGCATAATAAACTACTCCAAATTTACCAACAACCCTTTCACTATACCCACAGATTCTTTTGTTCTGTAATTTAGAAAGAGCAAAGCAGAAATGATTTGTCTCTCTTCCACAATATCTGGAACCTGAAATGGTAAGTATTGGAGGCTGGATTGACTCAACATTAGAAGGATAGAATCATCTGAATGCTCATTCACTCACATAACTGGACCCTGGGATGAGAAAACTCAAAAACTAAGGTCTCAAACTGGAGAGTCCACATGTGGCTTCTGCATATGGCTTGGTTTCCTCACAGCACAGTAGCATCAGAGTAGTCAGATTTCTTACACAGTGGCTCAGGGCTCCAAGTGTGAATGTTCCAGCAAGCAAAGCAAGAAGTTGTATGATCTTTTCCGACCAAGATTCAGAAGATATTCAATATCATTTCCATAACCTTATATTGGTTATAAACTAGTCACTAGCCCACTCAGATTCAAGAGGAGTGGACAGAGACCACACTTCTTGATGTAAACAGTGTCATGTGGAATGGGAGCTATTTTTGTGATCATCTTTGAAAAGTACAATCTCACATGGAAAGTTTTATTTTGTCCAAATGGGTTATGAAACAAAACTATAGCCTTAGATTACACGTTAATTTTTATGTGTTTAGTCAGCATGCATTTACTAAGCATGATATACTAAATACACTCTGTGTTAGGAGTTATCAGGTTTGGATTAAGAAAAAGCATGGTCCTTATCCTTATGGAATACACAAACCTATGAAACATAACACACGGCAGTAACTATTAAAAATAATTTTTTTCTTGCTAAAGGGCCGCAGATATTCAGTGATGGGGCTAAGAGAAATATTGAATAGTCAAGAAAGTTTTCTGAGAAATGGACCTTCAACTGGGTTTTGGGGAAGAGGAGCCAATTCAATTCAACAAAAAGTCCCAGTATGGGACAAAGTCAAATAAGACAAAATTGCTTCCCTCAAAAGAAATAAAATATAAGACAACCACACAAAACAGGAATATAAAAGAGAAATGGGGGCCAGCTCCGTGGCCAAGTGGTTAAGTTCACACGCTCCGCTGCGGCGGCCTGGGTTCGGATCCTGGGCACAGACATGGCACCGCTCATCAGGCCACGTTGAAGCGGCGTCCCACAGCCCACAGCTAGAAGGACCTGCGACTAAGATATACAACTGTGTACGGGGGAGGGGGTTGGGGAGATAAAGCATAAAAAAAAAAAGATTGGCAATAGTTGTTAGCCCAGGTACCAATCTTTAAAAAAAAAAAAGAAAAGAATATAAAAAAGAAATGGAGACAATAGAAAAGGATTTATGATGATGGTGCCATTTGGATTAACTTGGAAAACCCAGAAGATTTGACATATAGAAGAGGAATGCAGAGGTTCCCGATTTTCTAGATAAGGCTATTCAGAAATATTTATGTGTCTAATGTGGCAAGAGTATATAATGTGTTTAGTAAAAGGGTGGAAGACAAGACAAGAAAAAATAAATATGGTCACAAAGTGGTAAGTCTTAAACTTTTGAAGATCGTGTGTACTCTGAGTGGCCAGTGCGTGCATATGAAGAGGAGGGCGGCATAACTGAAGGAAGCTTCAAGAAGTCAGCTCACTCTGGAAGCACAGAACGGACAGAGCGGCATAGAAAAAAGACGGAAGCAACAAAATCCATCTGGAATCCCTTTCAGTGATTGGAATGCTTGTATTTTTTAATTCTGGTCAAGTCAGCTTCACCACCAGTAGTCATGCATAAAAATGTTCTACAAAACATCCTATTTGTTAAAGAAACGATTAGCTATTGAGAGTCTATCTTCTCTGATATGTTCTTAGTTCTTTTCTGAAATTTCTTTAGTGGCTTAGAACAAATATTATTATCCATGTATTTTGTAACTGGCTTGGATTTTTGTGTTGAAATCATTCTTAACAAGTAATATACATTGAAATGTACTGAGACTTTTACTTAATTTCTGTAGTATTAACCATTCCACATTGTGGAATCCCACTATTTCCTCAAGATATCTTGGGTATTCTATGTGACACAGGAACACCTAACTTAGAAACCGAGTGAAAGCATCAACGTCAATCTACATATAAAATATTAATGGGATAAACATATAGATTATATTACAGATTATATTATGTGCCTAATTGTGTATTTTGTATATTAAAGAATGCAAAAGTATACATATTTTCAACTTAGTAAGAATTTGCTGACACAAATTCTAGAATTATCTTCTTGTGCCCTACCAGATAATCTTCTAAACTCTCAGGAGTGCATGAACCTCACTTTGGCGATCCCTAGTGTAAACCCATGGAAATAAAGCTGTTGAGAAAGGAAATGGAAAGGAAAGAATGAATCAGAAACAGGCAGAATGGAAGTGGCATCTCACTGAATATGTCATTTTAGAAGTTCCTTTTGAGAACTCTGAAAGGGTAATTATATACTCTTCGTGTTGGATCTTGTCTGTTTGGGGCATCAAACAACTTCAATTAACAACACAAACATCAAAATTTCTATCTTGGCACTTGAAGGATGCCTCTTAAACCATTATGTATCCTCTTCAATGTGAAATCAAGTTTACACGCATTGCCAAGAGGATACCCATCAATAAGTGAATGCATCACATTATTGAAGAAACTGTCCAACATGAAGATTCACTTCAGGCAACAGAACGACCACCAAATCAGTGGCATTTTGTCTAATTTCTACCACACTAAAGAATTAGCTTTCAAAGAAGAAAAGATGCCAAAACATTTGTTTGTTGGGAGACCCTCTTGAGCTAAGTGCTAAGTATAATTCACTCAAACACTTTGTGGTATTCACCTTTTTCAGCTTATCTCATCCAAATGATCAATAGTCATTACATCAGAAGACAAATGTGTCCATCAAATGGGTGCTGGAAGGGAAGCAGAAGAGCAAGATAAATGTCATACATTTGTATAAGCCAGTCTTCTGACTTGGGACATAATGCAATCAGGGGGGAATCTAGAGTCGGGGAAAGGCACCATGAGAACACACAGTGGGGAAGTTTATCCCTGACCATGATGAGACAGGACATTGTCTGCCCTAATTCACCAAGGAGCTTCCTAAAGATCAGAAATTGCATCTCTGTCATCTTGCTTCCTGCTCCAAATAGATTTTCTTAACACTGGCAGGTTCCCATCCAGTCTTACTTATGTACTAGCCCATTTCACATAAAGGTTATCTAGCTAAAGCAACTTTTTTCCTTAAGTGCCACAAACTTTTCCTCTGTATAATCTATTTTGGGACTGCTTAAGTCTTCCCCTTTAATTTCTACCCATTGTCATATCTCTGTCATATGTGTGGTCTGCTTATTTAACCCTCTATTTTGCTCCAGACAGCAGATCTTATGTGATCTTGGACTCATGTTAATAGCTTTTGCTTTCCCGGATGTTTTATTTTGCATATGTTGAAACCACTACTTGGTTTTCTTCCCCTGACCTAAAGTTAGTGCCCCTTCTGGTATTCTTTATTAAATGTCATTTGTCTGAATTAAGAAATTCTGCTATATCCCTCTCTAAAGAATTTTTCAAACTTTATAGCTAGAGAACTAGTGTTTTTGTTTTTATGGCAGGGGATGGGAAACTACAGCCCATAGGCCAAATATTTTCTTTTCTCTCCAAAGCCCCAGCACATAGTTGTACATCCTAGCTATAAGTCATTCTAGTTCTTTCTATGTGGGCTGCTGCCACACATGGCCTGACGAGTAGTGTGTAGGTCTGCACCCAGGATCCCAACCAGCTAACTCCAAGACACCAAAGTGGAACATGCAAATTTAACTACTCAGCCATGGAGCCAGCCCCTTAATGTCTATTTTTGTGAAGATGTTTATTGGAACACAGCCAATACCTATTGAGTTATGTATTGCCCATGGCTGCATTTGCACTACAGAAGAGTAGAGTACTTGTGACAGAGACCATATAACACACAAAGCCTAAAATATTTGCTATCTGGCCCTTTACAGAAAAAGTTTGCCAATCTCTGAATTAGGAGCTTTGGGCAATAAGGAGGCTATTTGCATAATATAAGTTTATGGTATTGACATTCTTGAGAAGAGAAAACAGAGAAAGTGAAAGTAACTAGGAATCCTGTTTAATTTCTTGTTATTCCCACTCAATATGCTCATGATTTGAATAATTTTTTAAAAACCCACAGTAACTAAGAAGCTTGAATATATCTTACCAGGAACCTAAATTAAGGGAGAAATTCTAGAATAAAAATAAAATATTTTTTATAACTTACTTTGAGCAAGAATTCAAATCTTCCTAAACAAAGACATCTGAGCCCCACAGTCTCTGATTCAAAGCAAATCAGACCTTTTTTTTTTTATTATCATGGCCAGAAAATATGAGGGTGAAAGTCAGAATGGTCTGGAAGAGACAGTACTGTTTATCAAACTAGTTTTCTCCCCTCTTCTCTAAAGCCAGGTCAATTTTGTTCTTTTCTGGTACCATAATTACTCTCAGCCTGAAGTCTTTTTTTCCCTCTGTGGCTTTGAGAAATAAGTCATTTATAAAAGTACAAAAAGACTGATTATTCCGAATAGCACAGCCAACTTCTTAGCCCTTTCTCATATAATTACTTAGGAGATGAGTTTGAGAACTTGTCATGGCCCATTCTAGAATGTGTGTCATCCTATTGCCTTTTAAACTGTCATATTGTTCCTTTTAAAAATATTTTAACTTAGCCTAGGCATAGAGAATGCAAAACTGATGCAAAATGCAGGCTTATGATAAATTATCTGAAAGTTATTGTATATCACTATTTTTAATAATAATAATACAACTCTTTCTTTTGAAATAGGGTAGATCTCATTGGTTCTGGCCTCTATGTTGCTGAATCTTCAGTAGCTTGGTGTGTTAGGAATCTCAGCCGTAGACAATAGAAGCCACTGTAGATAGCTTCAAGAGATGGGGATTTATTAAGGAATAGAGAGAACTCAAAGAATCATTAGAGGCAGTCCAAGAGACTTCTGGCAAGGTTGCTGCGGTATCCACCATGATTAGGAAGCCCTGAATACGAAAGCTACTTACATAGCTACTGTTTCGAGACCTGCACTCCATTTTCCATCCTTAGGAAGCGATAACAACTGGAAGCCACAGCCGCTCTTACTGGATGCAGTACCGATGCTGTCTCTGTCATGATCAGAAAGTTATGGAATTAGGAGTTAGTCTCCCCAGTGGCTAGCTCTAGAACTTAGCTGCCTTTGCTAAACCCAAGCCAGCAAAAATGATTGTCCTTGGTCCAGCTTGCTTTCTCATATTACTCAGTTCTGAATTAAGTCTTATGTGTGTTCATTTGTTCGGTAGAAGATAAACTAAAATCATCTGGTCTCTAAAAGCAAGGGAGGCTGGGCAGTGGTTTTATTTTGTTTTGTTTTGAACCCTACATCGAAGTAGCAGGATTTAAACATGGGAAATTATCAAAATGTGGAGAGTATATTCTAAAGAAATAACATCTATACATCCTTATTGGAGATAATAGGGAACACTGGGTTAGGTTGGGGTTAGCAAAACAAGTTCCAGTATCACCTATCCAGAGCAGACAAGAAAAAAACAAGTCATAAATATAACAACCAAGTCGCTAAGACCCGTCCCTTTAATTTTTTAATGTTATCATTAAAATTTAAATTAAAATACTTCTTGAATAAAAACCCTCAGCAATCAGTTTTCACTGGCTTTAGCATTATAAAGATAGATTGTATACATATATTCAGTGGTTTAGATAAGCACCCAAGAAAAAAAATAATTTTAATTTAAATAGAAGTTAAACCATTATAACTTGTTCTATCCATCAAGTCGCCTCTCACTCCTGACGACCCTGTGAATGAGTGATGTCCACAATGTCCTATTCTCAACAGCCCTACTCAGCTCCTGTAGATTCATGCCTTTGACTTCCTTTATGAAGGCAATCCATCCTATATTTGGTTTTTGTGTTTTCCTGCTGCCGTCTACTTTTCCCAGCATTATTGTCTTTTCCAAAGAATCCTGCTTTCTCACGAGGTGCCCATAGTGGTCCAGCCTCAGCTTTACCATTTTTCCTCCAGTCATAGTTCAGGCTTAATTTGCTCTAGGACCCGCTTGTTTGTCTCTCTGGCAGTCCAGGGTATCCAAAGAGCTCTCCTCCAACACCAGGTTTCAAATGAATCAAATTTTTTCCTGTCAGCCTTCTTCACTGTCCAGCTTTTACACCCAGTGCACAGTAACTAGGAATACGAGGGTGTGGATAACGTTGGCCTTAGTCTCTAATGACACTTCCTTCCACTTGATGATCTCTCCTAATTCTTCCATTGCTGCCCTTCCAAGTCTCAGTCTTCTCTGGATTTCTTGGCTGCATCTCCATTGATGACTGAACCACGGTAAACAAACTCTTCAACGATTTCAATGTCTTCGTTGTCTACATTAAAGTTGTGTAGTTGTTCTGTAGTCGTGATTTTTGTCTTCTTGATGTTCAAATGTAGTCTTGCTTAGTCACTTTCTTCTTTCACTTTTGTCAGAAGTCGTTTCAAGTCATTGTTCTTTCTGCCAGTAAAATGGTGTCACCTGCATATCTTAGATTGTTGATATTTCTTCCACTAATTTTCACTCCTTCTTCGTCTGAATCCAGCCCAGCTTTTTGTATGATACGTTCTGCATACAGATAAATTATTATAAGTAGATGCAGGAAAATCAAACAAACAAAAAACTATAAAGATTTTTCCTTGCAGAAGATTCAAACAAAATTATGCTCAATAATTATTATTGTGTCATCACTATGAAGTTAAAAATAACCAAATATTTTTGTCAAGTGGTCTTGGTGGCAAAAATAGAAAAAGGTGAGGTTTGTCTCTAGGTCTTCTCATTCAGGATTCCCCTTTCTTCACTCTTTAAGAACAGAAGTCCAAATACTTTCCTAGTCCCACTTCAAAAAATTTTCTCCCTCTACAATCTGCTCTAATTTTCTAGAATGCTTAAAACCAGAACTGTCCAATAGAATTCTCTGTGATGTTGGAATGGTGACTATGTTCTATATTCTGTGTTGTCCAATGACTTAGCGCTGTCTGGCTATCGAGTACTTGAAATGTAGGTAGAATGACTGAAGAACTGACTTCTTAAATTTTACTTATTTTAATTAACTTAGAATAGCCACCTGTGGACAGGTGGTTTCATATTGAATGGGCCCACTCCAAACTTTTATCTCTTTTTCACCTTCACTTCTATTTTCTTAGTAGAATGGGATAGTTGATCTCTGATTTAGGTATCTAAGAAAGTAATCCATGTTTATTATTTTACATTGGGGCACTGATAATTGCATCTGTATTATCCATGGAAGCTGTATTTGTGTTTGGAAATAGAAAGATTCTTAATTCAATGATAAATTTTTTCAATTATCTCTGTGATGAGCCCTACCCTGGGTACTGGGGCTGTGGCAGAGAATGAAGCAGAGATAATAAATAAACCAGTAAACATACAATCGGACAAGTAATGAGCAGTCCTGTAAAGAAATATGATGCAAGGTGATTTTTATAAAGGTCATCATGAGGGAGAATATTTTGTAAATACAAATATATACAAAATCCAAGAATACTTCTAATTATTTAATATTAAGCAGACTGTGGAAGACATTTTAACTTTCTAGTTCTTCATAAAAAATAATACAAATGATTCCCTTTTACTGCAATAACGCCAATTAAATTATCCTGAAAGTCTGCAGCAACAAAACACCTAAAAATGCAGATAAATCATATATAGATTATTGTAAGTATAGGCATTAAACACAGATAGACTTGAAGTAATGGATATCTTCTGATGTCAAGACGTTAGCCAAAATTTGAGTCCTTGTACAGAAATTTTGGCTGCCATGAGGCACTTCCTAATGACAGGAGCCTACAGCTTTGGTCTTAGTGGCCGTTGTTATGAAGAATGCACATCAACATGGGGAATGTTACCAAGACGTGGGCCCATATAAGAAAGGATATGGAATCTGAGACTTCAGTGCAAAATTAATGCTAATGAAAGGCGAGAGCTGACATGAGTGGAAAAATCATCCCCAGGGCAGGCAGGCAGGCAGGCAGGAAATCTGTATGTGTCCTCCTGGGCTGTGGGTACAAGGAATGAAAACTTCCCCACAGATTGTGTAATGATGGGCCAGGCCTTAGGTGGATGTGGGCCTGAATTTACAATATTTACATCATCCAAAACTTAAAGGGGACCAAATGGCAGAAAGTCAAATCTTTTCTGGAAGAACACAGTCTTAATATAAGCCTCAGAGATTCCCCGCAGATAAAATTCTAGTGAATATGAAAATTAAATACACACACAAGTACTAGGCATCAAAAGCAAGAATAATTACAAAATCTATAATGTGAATACCAGAATCAGATACATAAGGACCTCAGAAATTTATATTGACAGATGCAAAAGTTAAAAAGTACTCTAGTTATGATTAAAGAAATAAAAGTGGCAAATGAAAACACAAGTAAGAAGTAAAATCTATAAAAACAAAAAGGCATGCTTTAAAAAGCACCAAATGGAACTTTTGGGAGTCCTTGACGAGTTCCACAAAAAGTAAAAACATCTTGGGATTTTGACTGAGAGTACATTAAATTTCTTGAAAATCTATGGTGACTGCCTCCTCGAATCTTTCCACAGAGAAGCACGAATGTCTTACTAGAGGCCTTTTCTGGTTAGTTTTATTTCAAGATATATTTTGGACATTGGCATAATTGTTAACAGGATCTCTTTTTCATTGCATTTTCTAATTGCTCACATAGAAGAAAGCAATTGATTTTTTATGCTGCTGTTCTATCATTTTTTTTTTTTTTTTGAGGAAGATTAGCCCTGAGCTAACTGCTGCCAATCCTCCTCTTTTTGCTGAGGAAGACTGGCCCTGAGCTAGCATCCATGCCCATCTTCCTCTACTTTCTATGTGGGATGCCTACCACAGCATGGCATGCCAAGCGGTGCCGTGTCCGCACCCGGGATCCCAACCGGCCAACCCCAGGCTGCCAAAGCGGAATGTGCGCACTTAATGGCTGCACCACCGGGCTGGCCCCCTGTTCTATCATTTTAATCTTATTTCTTCTAATACTTTTGCAACTGATTCTGTTAGTCAATCAAAACATCTAGAAGCAATAATAGTTTTTGCTCCTCTTTTCCAATACATAACTTTTCTTCTTGTTTCTTGTCTTACACAGGCTAAGAAATCTATGAAAGTATTGAATGATAATACTAGTAGTGGACATCTATATCTTGTTCCTAAATTCATGGGAATATTCCTCGTTATTCATTCATAAGTTTAAGGTCAGCAAAATGTTTCTAGTACAGGGTTCAGCAAATCCATGGGCCAAATGCTCAGTAGCTTGCCTTTATAGATAAAACTTCTTTGGAGCTCAGCCATACCCATTTATCTACATATTGCCTGTGGCTTCTTTCATGCTACAGTGATGGGCAAAGTTGAGTATAGACTGCAAAGCTAAAAATATTGTACCATCTGGCCCTTTACAAAAGTGTTGGCTGAACCTTGTTTTTTATATATATATTTATTGATTTATCTATAAATCTGGCTTATTATGAGTTTTTAAAATTAGATTTTGAACTACATCAAATGCTTTTTACAACAAATTGAGATGAACTATCTCAACTATTGAGATCATATTTTCTTACTCTTCAGTCTTTTAATATAACATTTATTTAGTAAAATTATAATATTAAACTGTTATCTTACTGCTGGGTAAATCTCTATTTGTTCATCATATCTTAATATAATACACTGAGAGTTTTAATTTGGAAATACAGTGTATGGGATATTTGCAATTCTATAAATAATATTGTTTTATACATTTAGTGTACTATGTCTCTATCTAATTTTAATCTCACCACACTCATCTTATGGAGAGAATAGTGAACCATGACTAGTTAATATGTCTCATTTAAAAAAGTATTTTTTCTTGACGTTTTGATTAGAAAATGATCCTGAAATTGTGTAAGCCTATTGCCTTTGTGCATTATTTTTGATATCTACTTTCAATGTATTCTAACATGTTGGATCTACCAGCATGTTCTATGGTTGTTGAGTGAGTTTTTATTTTTCTATAATGTATTTCTTTCATCTAGTTCTTCAAATCTATTAACAAATAATCATATATAGCAATAGTCATCGATAGACACTGCCAACATCAGGGCATGAGAATATTTGCTTCTTCATATCCTGGCTAACTCTAAGATGATATTGCCAATTAAAAAATAAGATTACACTCAGGGGACGGCCCAGTGGCATAGTGGTTAAGTCTGCATGCTCTGATTCAGTGACCCAGGGTTCTCAGATTCGAATCCTGGGCTCAGACCTAGCACCGCTCGTCAAGCCACACTGTGGTGGCATCCCACATAAAATAGAGGAAGGTGGGCAACAGATGTTAGCTCAGGGCCAGTCTTTCTCACACACACACACACACACACACACACACACACAATAATAAATAAATAAATAAATAAATAAATAATAGTTACACTCTGATATTTGCTATTAATGCATCGTTTCAATAATTTGCATTTCCCTGAAACTAAGAGGGTACACACACACATATAGGTAATGGGATTTCCTCTTCTGTGAATGTTTTATTTATATCCTTGAACTACTTTTCCTTTCAGTTTCTTTTTCATATTGATTTGTAGATATCTTTTATGTAATCTGTGGACTATCACTTTGTCAATTATAATATTGCAATTATAATAGTCTTCCTGTTTGTGGCTCGTCTTTTAACTTGGTTTATAGTTTCTATGTAGCTATGGAGAGGTGACAAAGTCGAGTTATTTTATCCTGATCTATGGGTTGGCAATTCCAAACATTATTCAGTGAATCTAATGTTTACCTTCTGCAACAAACAAATTACAGAGATTTGTCTCCAGAACCTGCACAGATGTTGAGGTCTGGGCTCCTGTGCTTGCGTCCACTTCCCTACTATTTATAGCTCCAGTTTTCAACCTCAACTTAATATGGTAGATTCTCTCATTTTCACTTTAATTTCTGGAAATTCTCTTTTCTTCTACTTTATTTTGGCTATGCTTTTTTAAAAATTTTTTTCCCCAAAGATTGGCACCTGAGCTAACAACTGTTGCCAATCTTCTTTTTTTTTTTCTTCTTTATCTCCCCCACTCCCCCGTACACAGCTGTATATCTTAGTTGCAGGTCCTGTTAGTTGTGGCATGTGGGACGCCACCTCAACGTGGCCTGACGAGCAGTGCCATGTCCGCGCCCAGGATCCGAACCCTGGGCCGCCGCAGCGAAGCCCGCGAACTTAACCACTCGGCCACGGAGCCGGCTCCTATGCTTTTTTTTTAATTTAAAATGTTCAGTATACCATTTCTGATACTTGCAATGGAATAAAAAAGTTTTAAAACATGTTAAATTCATATTTCCGCTTTTGTTTTAGTTCCTTCTTTAATTCTACTTTATTTCCTAATGTGTGTGTTTACATACAGAGAGAGAGTGTGTGTTCACTCCCAGCTTCTATTTTGGAGTGGAGTCAGGGGTGGGGACTTCAATTATTTTAATTTAACTTGCCTTAATTTCTAAGGAATGCATTTAAGACTGTATATATATTCCCCTCTGATTATATCCTCTGGCTGTATTCTTTAGGTTTGGGATATGTATAATGTTTTATTTGTCCTTTCTTTCCAAATAGCCTAATTCTAATTTTGACTTTTTAATGCTAGTATACTTATCTGAAAAACACAAGTGATTAGTTTTGTTTTGACTATACTGTTAGATCAAATTCTGGCTTTATTGTGTTTTTATAAAATATCATACCAAATGAGTTCTATTTTTAGGAGTTTTAGAGTTGGGTGTGTGTGTGTGCGTGTTTGTGTACGTGCACAGAGCAAGCATGTGTCTGTCTTCTTGTAAGTGCCTTTTCTGTTGAATACAAATATCTACAAACACACATATATGCACACAGGATGAGCCTCAGGAGACCACAGATGCTTGAGTTGTTCTAGGTATAAAAATTGGCAAGAATTTCTTTTCATTTGTTTCCTCTTGCTTTTTCTAACAAGTGATGCAAAGCATACATTTGAAGTCAAGGATACAGGATGACACAAAAAGCACAATTCCCAGAGCCTTTCTTCCCCTTTCTCAGAAGTGATTTTGAATTCTGGTGTTCCCAAGGCCCATAGTTAATGGAGCGGTCCACCACATCAGAAGAGCTCAGACCACGGACTTGCTGCTTTCCCCCCTCTATAAGAGGAGAAGAGTTGTGATCTTATTTTTGAATCCAATCATTCTTTATTTTATTTTTAAAATATTATTTA